TCAAGGTATGTTTGATAATGGCTAAAGCTGCCCTATATCTTCTAGACGTTGTGTTTTTAATTTATTGGGCTGTTGATTTTTTGAATTTTTCCCAGGTGGTTAATGGGTTTGAACAGAAAGATGTTTGAAAATCCTGGGTTGAGGATATTTCTTCTATCCAGGATTGAAATTATGAGTTGGCTAAACTTTCTGGGCGTATTTGGCACCGCCTGGGTGCTTAGGTATTTGTTTCTGCTGGTGTGTAGGACACCAAAACTAGCTGGTGGCCAGAAAATTTGATTTTATAGTTTTTAATTTATGAACTTGATAACAAAAAATTAATGGTGCGAGTATTAGGTCTATCCATGACATAGAGATAAGTGCATCATTGTGCATATGTGGGCATATCATATTATGTAGTAAGGGTGACCTTTTTGGTAGTGGATCATATAGTCCCATGGTGGCCTTTAGCACGCAAAGTTCCACTTGCCCTTGTGGTACCTCCGTTGTGTATGGCCATTGATTAGTATCTGGGTTAATCCAGAAGTTTATGCCTCCCATGAAAAAAGTGTTTGCTGGAAGATGAACTTGTTTTAGAGCTGTTAAAACTCTCATCAGTTTAGTTAATAATTCAATGCATACACACTGGCTATTTTGTGCATTTCTTTATGCCATGAGAAGGTAATGGCTAGTACGCGGCCATCCAGGGATGAATTTTTATTAATAAATTTAAGTTTTGGTTTGCATGTACTATCACCCCACAGCGTTGTGACTAAAACAATATCGTTAAGAAGAGCATGTTTTCCCATACCTCCTCTTTTCCCTGTGGACAGTGGGTTTCCTGCACCGCCAGGATATCCACAGGTGGGTTTTGCAGGGGACTCAACTTCTTGACTGGGACATCAAGGCCTTGAGTCCCGCTATGTTCAGCGTCCCTATCTCTACTGAGATGCCCGATGCGCCTCAGGAGCGGTTAGCAGGGTCCCCCAACCCCACTCCCTCTAACTCAAAACTCTCCATTGCATCTCTGCTGCAGAGAGCATAACCATGAGTAGGAGTTGGGGTGTATTCTTCTCCTTTAATTACCACTGTTTTTGATCCTCTATTGCCTTTTCTAGTTTTCAATTTATCATTGTGGTACACTTATGTGCTCTTATTGGACACATTTTTCTCTTGGGCGTTCCATTGTTGATTTTCACTCCCAATTGGATCATGCTCTGCAATTTTGGGATGTGTGTGTGCTGAACCCCTGTTTTGCCGCATTTATTTCAAAATTAGGTTCCACCAAATCCATTCTGTTTGGATTGGTTCTTTGGTTTTCCATGGGATTTGATTGGCTCATTGTTTTAATTTTATCCCTGTCTTCCTGGATCTGTTCCAGTGAGATGGATGATTCCACCAATGCCTTTGCCTTGGCCGCGGCCAGATTGAAAGCTTGTTTGGCCATTTTTCATTCTTTTTGGGGAAATTGGGTCAATTATTTTATATTGCCCATGTTTGCCTTAGTTAAATACTTGTGTGGTATCTGTGATTTTAGCATACTCTTAGTCATCTTTTCCTATTTCCTCCTCACAGAATTCCATTTCTCTTAGGCCTTCTTTTATGGGACAAGCATGAATCTTGTGCCCAAAGGCCTGGCAGTAGTTGCATATGGGGGTGCGCTCTCTACTGTTGCACAGAATAGTTGGCATTTTTCCCATCAATAGTAAAGGATGCGATGTAGGGATTTTTGTAATATCCTCTTCTATTTACTGGTTTTGGGAAAATAATTGCAATTGCCTTCCCAGAGCTGAGGGTCAGCATCAGCTGGAATCTTTTATTTTGAATTGTTTAATTTCTCTGTAGGCTTATAAGCCTTCCCAGAGATGTCGTTCAACTACTGTGCGCGCCAGTGTAGTCAGAAGGTAGTTGAAAATTATAAAAATATCTTTTGATTATGTCCAACATGTGCGTTTGATTGATACCATATTCTGACCATCAGGAAGGTCGAGTAACACTATGACCTTTGCTGCTTTATTAGGTTCTTCCGCTGTTTTGGACCCAAGGTCTACCCAACCTTTGCAGATAGTATGGGTTGTTAAGTACACCGCATGTGGGAAAATTTAAGTTTTACTTTGCCAAACTTTTCCCACATTGTCAGTGGAACTACATACAGGAAAACTCATATCCCATGATCCATTGACAACAGTGGTTGCAAGTGGGATACTTCCATGTGACTGCAATATTTCACTAAAAATTCACAAAACTCATGGGGTGCACCACCCCAGGTTTTTTTGTTTTTACTAATATTTTCGTTTGTTTCTATGCACTTGGTACCTTTGGGCGGTGCAGATCCAGGTCCGCTGCCCTTTACCATGTTTGCTCAATTCTTTACTTTATTACTCATGCTCATCTCACCTGGTATTGATTATCAAATTGTACTGTTTGAATTGAATCATACTACTAAAAGTGATAGTAATTGGAAAGAAAAGCTCCACAATGAATGTTTAAACCACAACAATGAAATGACAGCATTCTGTAATAATAAAAATTCCTAACAAGTTGATGCCAATTATGCAATAATTTAAATGCAACCTCTTTTTCTGCTAAATCTAATGATTCCTTTTGGAAAAGAACTGGTTCGATTTATTAATATGTTTGTTTACAGTTTTTGATCTTATGTATACTTTAACATATATATTAGTGAAAAGCTTAATTAACAATGAAAGCAATTTTGTAAAGTATTTATTTGAATTAAGCTGATCAGGGGACAGACATTACCAAAACTAAAATAATACTAAAAACTAACGTAACTAATTGGTCTAGAAAAAACGCCCAAATGAGTGGATTGAATGAAACACTTTGAGTAAAACAACCAACCAGGTGGGCAGCGGAAACCACTTATCCCTCCATGGTGGAAGGGGAGGGGTGATTGGAGGGCTCATCTTAGGCAGCAGCTTCCTCCTCCCAGAGTAAGTATGTGTCAAGGCAGACAGTAAGGGCGTCAGAGCATTGGCGGCATGTGATTCAATATCACTAATAATTATAATTGATAGAAATTGCCGGCAAGGAAAATGGCACTGATATATTCAGCTAAAGCCTTTTTAGCTTTAATGCGGGTGTCTGGGAGTTTAATGAACATGTTGATATTGGTTTGGGTAAACATAGATTTCAGATTCCCTGCTACAGTTACCACGTTCTGGATAGCATGATTAAAGTTTTTGTGTAACTGCTTCACTGTGAATTTACTCTTTTTAGTAAGACTTTTGGGGATAACAGGAGGTGGATTTCCTCCTGTGAGCATTGCCTCTGATTTGTCGACAGCTTTACAAAGGGGATGACAATCTGTTGTTGCAGCTTCTTTGACTGCAATCTGGTGATCACTGCAAGATGATTTGGCACTTGGCTGTGGGGTATATAGTCAAGGGGGGTATTTGGCATCCCATTCTGCATTAACAAACTTCTCAATTTGCAGAGATGGTTCTTCAATGAGCTTACCTGATTTTTCAATTTCAGCCAAATAATCCCATGGTTCTGGTTGAATTGAATTGGGTAATCAGAATATGGTTGAAGTTTATTTGATTTGTTGGAGGAAGCATGGGATTGAACTTGAGTCCAATCTGATGCTTGATTGGAGGAATCATGTGTGGCATTGGGGCTAGGAGGAGGCTGGCTGGTGGCTGCAGGTACAGCTGCAGCTTTAGGTTTTGGGGGAGGGGGAGGTAGGATCATACCCCATGCTAGAACTTGTATGGGGTAGGCGGCATATTGGAGGTCTGTGGACAAGTAGTCTGATAATTCAGGAGTGGCTAAGGAGGGGCACTTGAATTTTGAGTGGTCCAACTTGAAACATGACAGACAGATTGTCTGCCCACCCTTGACGCGGGCCCAAAACAGATGTTCAGGCACTGAAGGAATAATTGCATGAGGGGGGATTGACACAAAGATTTTAATAAATTCAGGGCTGATCATGGCATATGCATGAGGCCCAGCGAGTCATGTGGCCCCATTTGTGACACAAATTGTAAGATAGAATTTGGAGCCATAGGCTGCCAAACCATCCAACAGCTCCTGGTGGAGCACTGCAGGGGGGAGGTGGATGGGCTAACCAGCAAACTGGACCACCAAAGTGGTGTCCACTGGGAGCTAGGTCTGAGTTGTGGGAAGAGGGGTGCCCTGGAATACTAGGGGCACATTTGCTGCATTGGCGGCGTCAGCTTCACAGGTGAAGCTGAGGTCAAAATACCACTTATAGGTTCAGAAATCTATAAATCTGGTGGGTGTCATCACCACCTGTGTCATTTTAATAATGGCTTGGTCATGGTATGGGAAGAGTTTTCTGTAGTTGGCCCTTAGGCTGTAGCGCATGTTGCTCTGGGGGAGCACCAGGGGGCAGCAAGGTACCACTTGGGTATGAGCGAGGTGGGCGTTAAGATCCTTGGGAGGAACGAATCTTCCCATGGGTTTTGAATGACTGGGTGAGCCAGTCTGAGTACTTTTTTCCTGCTGGACGAAAAACGGCAGGGGAGTTTCTGCTGCTGCCCCACACTGGAGCAGCCAGCGGAGAATCTGAGGATATTGGAGCGAAACAACAATGGGTGATCAAAATTTACTTTTGTAAAAATTCATGTAATTTTTCAAAAGTTACAATTTTGTAAAATATCCCAGGTTTATTATGACATTTCTACTTTACATATCAGATTAAGATCATTACCAAACATCAGTCAAAGTATACAAGTTTTAAAAGACCATGTTTATAAAAGTTAAGTGAGATGATTGCTACAAACTATATTAAGATAGGTTATTTAAAACTTTCCAAAAATGGACTACTTTAATCCATTTACTATAGCATACATCAAATAGTTTGTTTTTATAAGCTTTTTGTACATATGATTTCATTAAACAAGTCATTATAAAAATTGACAGCCATAAAGTCTGATGTATCCTGTTTATCTCTTAATGATCAAACACATTTTAAAAAGTAAGTAAAGTTCAAAAACGGATTTATGTTAGGGTAATTAGCTAAAATGGTAGAGCCTTCATCTCGGGTAGCATAGTGGTGAGTATCCCCACCTATCACATGGGAGGCCAGGGTTAAATTCCCCGCCAAGAGAAAAAAGGTGAAGCCCAAAATCTTCCCTCAAATGTTATTAACTAGGAATCTCACTGATGGATGCTCTCAATTGGAAAAACCTCAAGATTGGTGTGCAAACGGCTAGGATCATTAATTGCCGCAGTATCAGCATTCACCAGATTGAAGCGTTCCTCAATTGGGGAGTTAGCCTCAATGAGTCTGTAAGCTGGATAATGAAGGGGATACCCCCATTGAATTACCTAAGCCTAGCATGAAATCCGAGTCGTACAGAGCAGTGGCAGCCCATACCAATGATAACACATGGAATAGGGCCAGAAGCCATATTGAATACATCCATCAACTGATCAGCGGAGAATTAATATCCCAAGCGCCTAAATCATATCCAAATGATGCAATCCAAATCCACTTGCAGCTGGTGGTGGAAGAGGAGTGGTACAACCTGATAATGTCAATTTATCAGGAGCTCAATGAGGTACTAGCAGGAGGGGATTTTGACCATCACTGGGTACCTGGATGAGGCTATATTGATATAGCAATCCCGGGTGAATTGGATTGTAAAAAACTCTTCAAGATTGAAATCAAGTATAAGGGAGTCTATCCATGAATGGAACTGACTAGGTACGCTAACCAAACTGCATGGTGGGTGACATTCCAAAACCTCCTGACTGATCAATAGAGGGAATGGGTGCACAAAGTGATCTCAACCGGACTATCATACTATGTGGAAGTATGAAAATTTTGGCAAGCTGATGGCAATTACATCACAAAGTGCCTTCACCCCCAAACAGTTGAAGCACTATACAAACTGGCACCATGGATCAAGCCAAACTATATTGCCTTACTTCAATTCATCCGCCTTCCCAGCCTAAGCAGAGTCATCTACATCAAGTAAGAAGATGCAAAGCAAGTGTGTCAGTTCTGCTACCAGACCAACCACACAATGGCTCAATGCAATCATCAAAAGGGTAAGACCCCTTGAGAGTACAAATATAACCCCGTTTGTGGAGTCACAAAGGTTGGGGCCAAAACATTTCTTAAACCAAAAGCCAAAGGATGGATCCCACAGAATTTTATGGAGGTCGCGGACATGAAACGTCAACAGCAAGAGTTGGAACTCGCCCATAGGGAAGCATGGAAATGATAAGTGGCCAATTGACCCGAAGCAGATGATGAGCTCTTCATTATCCCAAACCCTAGATCATACAAAATGGATGAGGGCATGAGCCCTGAACTGATGGCGCCACATCCATCCCAAGCGGAATGTATTATTAATGAGGAAGAACAATGGCAGAAGGTAGTCCCAAAAAATACCCTAAGAAAGGACGGGCAGCACAAGATGCCAACAAAGCGAAATCAAAGCCTGACAATTTAAAAGCAAATATGAAGTTAACTTGGAAATTATTAGTGAACAAACCCGAGGAGACTAGTAATTAAACAACTGAATTGATGAAATTGGCAAAGTTAGCCAATTGGAAACTAACCATAAAGTCCAGATACACTTAAAAATTGAAAAAGGGGTGGGAATTTGATCGATGGATGAAGGTGAACCCGCTGCATCACCATTAGGGACCAAGGAGCACCTGGAGCTGATAATAAAACCGTCCCTAATCCATTGATAGGGAGACAGGGATGGCGACTTAATTCCTGGTGCACAGAATGCCTGGTAATAAAATCACAGTTCTGACCAACCAACCCTGAAAGCTAAACAATACCCCCACCCACCCTCAGTGACACCAACGACCAATAAGCAAACTTCCATATGCAACTCAATTCATAGCCCAGAAGATATTAATCCTCATACCCATGGGTCGGCCAGCTGGAAATGTGGAATGCAACTACAAATTTTTGGAGGATGGTGAGCATACAAACAAGAAGGCGAAAAATACACCATTTTAAAACAAACAATAATATAGACATATTTTAATATTGGAAACGCAAGAAGGTAGCCAAAAGGAAATTGTGCCAAGCTCAAACTGTGATGTGACAAACCACCTGTGGTCCTGCCAGATAGGCTGTCATGGCCTCTGGATGGATTATGTGGAAATCATTGCACTTGACAAGAACATAGACCTGGAATTCGTGGAGGATACTCACACCAGAAGGATCCTGATAGTGACTGCTATGCATAGAGAAACTGGCAAGAGCCTTTGAATGGTGGCAGTTTACACTCTGCCAAAGCCCTGCAAAAACAGAATATTTTGGAATTTCTTATCAGAAGTACCAGCTAAAGCTATGAAAGTTCTAGCAGGAGACCTGAATTGTTGGATGAACGTGAGTCACGATACATTTCTGACAAGTAAAATTCACAACCAAAAGGCCAATGAAATGCTAGAATACCTAGTCAAACTGGGGATGTGCCTCACAATTGACGTGGAAAATGACAACCTGGCCAACCTAACGCAATGGACATACAACCCCGCCTGAACCCCACATGCGGGTTTGCGCCTGGATTATATATTGGTGTCATCTGACCTCAAACTGCTAACGTCCAACAGCAAAGTCAATATAAATGCTGAAAGAGACCACATGATTGTCCACATGGATATTGATCTGGATTCCCTGAGAAACCGCAAATAGCATCTGGCACCAGCAATGCTGATGGACGGGTAATGGCGCCAAACAATTGAAGTCAGACTGGATAAACTGGTCACATATCTGTATTGGTACCTGGAGATTGACCCTCTAGAATGATGGATCTATATCAAAGAGAAGATGAAGCACAATATAATAACGTTTGAAAAAGTAACTACCTACAAGCAAGCTACCACCGCGAAACAGCTGAAAATTGCACTGGAGAGGCTGAAGCTCACTTGGCGTGGCAGCAAAGAATGGTGGTGAGAGTACCATACAATGCACAAAAGGTGTTAGGCCTTAATGGCAAAACAGGATTTGGAGCGACAGATCAATGCTATCTACCAATATCAGAGCTTAGCTCGAACAATGACCAAAGAGGGCCTGACGTACCTCAAGGAAATCTGAATCAAGGCTAGGATATAGGAAGTAGAGATGGCAGAAGGGGAAGTATCAACGGACCCATAAATGATCAAGCACAAGATTGAACACGTCTATGGAGAGCTATTTTGTCAGAAAGAAAAAAGCAAAAGGTGACAAATGCCCTAATTGATTATGCCAAACCAGAACTCAGGGGCTGTACGCCAGAAGATATTACTAAATTATCTGCTGAATTATCTATTGATGAAGTTAAGAGGGCGCTAAAAGAGTCACTGAGAATGAAGGCAACAGGCCCTGACAACATGTGTGCGGACGTGTACAGTGCGTTCCATGACTGCATTATGCCAGAACTTAAATCCATATTTAATTACTGTTTGCAGAATGGATGGCAAATCCTGGGAGGCCAGGAGACCCAATTTGTACTCTTGTACAAAAAGGGACTCCAATGCCAACTACAGAACTGGCGCCTGATTGTACTATCCAACGCTAATTATAAGCTGCTCACATGCGTATTATAAAATTGGCTGATGGCAATGGCACTGAATATGCTACATAAGGCCCAAAACGGGTCATTAAAGGCCGGAGCATTTGGAACAGCATTGGTGCAGTCCAAAACATACACTTGGATGTTCAAGGAACTGAGTAGGGATTTCTCAAGTTTCTTGACATGGAAAAGGCCTACAATCAAGTAGAGTGGCCATTCCTACACGAGGCGTTGAAAGCAGTCAGTATCCCTGAAACCTTTAGGTCAAAGAAAACGACACTGTACTAAGACTTGGTAAACAAGGTGATCATTGCAGATGGCATAACTAATGGTATTCTGGTCAGACAAGGTCTCTAACAAGGGGATCCTATGTCACCAATTTTGTTCAATTTTGCAGCTAACATTTTATTGGAGGTAGCGGATGCAAAACTCAAGGGCCTAGTCCACCTCAACCAAATGCCGCTGAAAATGATGGCCTTCTTTAATGATAGAGTAATAAGTATTAGCTCACTGACTGACCTACAGGGCGCCGAAGAGCTACTGGACCTATATCTGTTAGCATCAAAATGAAGATTAATTTAGCAAAAAATCTCCATAATGAGGATCAGCATCGTAAACTTAAGACCACTGACTTACACAACACCAATCATGAACTCCTAGATGTTCTGATACCTCAGGATACTCTTTAATGATAAAGGGCCAGCAGTACTGGAAACTGAGCAAGAGGTATTATTGAGTCTATTAGTCTGAATGGTATGAGGAAAAATGCCAGACTATGCCTTAAGGAGAAATGTTGACAATTGACGTGTTCTTCTCAAAGCTGTGGTATGTTGCCCATGTGCTGCCAATGAGACTGTACCTAGAGAAGAAAATCAGGACAATGCTATGTACCTTACTATGGTTCAAGGTGAAAGCGGTACCAATAGCACTAGAAACTCTGTTCAAACCAAAATATGAAGGAGGCATGGGCATTCTAGATTTTGAATTCAAGCGCAGTGGATCTGAGCGAAGTTGTTCCTTAGATTGATGCAGACGCACATGCACTTACTGACTCTAGCTTGGAATGTAAACTGGGCTAGAGTTCAGGGCTTTAGGAGCCAGTCTTACCCCACTCACTATGTGAATGGATAACGACCCACAAATGCCCTCCCAAAAGGTACCCCATATTACTGATGACTGTGCAATTGGGCAGTGCGCCTAGGCAGCTGGTCATTTGAACTAGAGGATCAGGATGCTGACCAAATCCACAGGGATGTTAAGACCTGTAATTCTGTAATGATTTCTGAGACAAATTATGAAGAACATAATTGAATTGCCCACAAATACACTGTTAAATCAATAAAAAAATCAGCTACAAATTGACCCTGATTGAGTACAGGGATCTGCTGCCAAAATCTGGGCACAACCCACCCACTTGACCATGAATCTTGAATGACTGGGTAACCAAAGGCCATGATACCAACTACCAAATGAAGGAGTTGATCTTGGGCCTTAATTTATAACTGGTAACAGCCAAACAACAGTCAGTGACCTGGAAGATCCTACACTGCAAAATTAAATCTAGTAAGCATAGTGGACCAGAAA